ACATGAGAGGGCAAACAGAGCAACTCTTACAATCCAGAAGAAGCGACCAAACAGCATATGTAAGAGACAGAAGAAGAATCCAAGGAAGATAGAAAAAAACCAATAGGCAAGTAAAACAGCACCAATCAGCAGAAGAACACGCGTAGGGTTGTTGGCAACTGCTGCAGGGCTGAAATAATGAGTCAGGTTGGAAGCTGAAAAATAAAAACAAGTTTATGAGAAATTAAAAGATAGTTTAATTACATCCGGCAAAGGTAAGTGTAAACTGTGAGCATAACAACTGAAGGGCCATATATCTGCAGAAGTTTCAAGGCTGTGGTTTCTAGAGAAAAAAAAAGGGGGGGGTATGGGGTAGGGTGTGACCAAATTACTGGATAATGATAAATACATATGTACCCCTGTGTGCCTCTTTCATATACCAGCAATCATTAGATTATTTCTATGGTTGTGACTGAGTGAATTCACTTCAGTTAAAGAGAGGGCCACACTAGTCCAGGGCATAAAGTTTAGAACTAAGATCAAGGGTAAATATGGTCTTCATGTAGTAACATTTAGATATTATTTGTTAAGCTGCATTCAGCATCACACAACAGAATAGTACATCCACCTTTAGGATCACGACTATTTCTACCCTTTGTTTCTTTTCATTCTCCTCCCCCTCCCCCATCTTCCTTTGTTTCTCTGCCCTTTCCTTGTGTCTTTCCTTTTCCCCTCTGCATTTCTTTCCCTGCAGCAACTCTCAGTTTACCCTTCGGACTTTTTCCTCATCCCATTCCACCTGATAAAGCGATCAGCAATAAAATAACGACAACATGTAAAGAGATTAACGACAGGAACTCCATCTGCACGCAAGACTGCTTAAAATTATTCAGCTTTGTGGAGTCTAGATCCCAGAACCATTAGGAAAATAACTTAGTTGGAAAAACAGTATTTTAATTTTTAAAGTGTCTATTTTTGCTCTATTACAAAAACAAGTCATTGTAATCAGAGAGCCACATATCCCAAACTTTTCCTTCAAAATTCACAGAACACTGGTGCAAGGTGCTATTTCCTAGGCAAGGTTTATAAGCACAAACGAGTGTGTCACCATATTAGAGCACCTGGGCAAGCCACAGCAATATGCCCTTGTTTCGGAAAAGCTAGGAATTCAGTCAAACCAAAGAAAGATATTACATTAGAAGTGGAGAGAACATTCTACTACTAACTATTGCAAAGCACATTATAGAAAAGTGCTCCGTTAACTTCAACAAGGTTTCCATCATTAAGTGACACACTTAGTGATAAAAATCCTCTTAATTTATTCCTGTTCCAGCTCCAGTGTCTGATCTACAGCAATCCTAGGACCATGGGTCTTCTTTTCTCTCTTACAGATAGGAAAGGAGTCACATTTACAGAGTGCTCTATATGACCAGACTTAGCATTAAGAATGTTACAAATATCAGAGATGGGAGTAAGAAAAGGGAGAAATAAAGAGCAGGGAAAACAAGAGAAAACTTAGGTACAGGCAAGGAAATGTACAAAATGAAGGAAGGAAAAAAAATGTGAAAATACCAGGAAAAATTATGCAGATCTTTTTCATTCTTTTCTAAAGAAAACTTTCTAATAACTGTCCTCTCTTCAGAGAAATATTTTCAAGGCACCCTCATCATGCTAACACAGTAAAGTGATTAAGCTACACAAACCCTTTAAAAGTTTTATTTCCCATACCCCTGCCCAGAGAATTTAACAGTGTTGAGTCCTGTTTACAGAACAGATATAGCAGCAGTGCAAAGCTTTTCTCATACTGCTTTACCAAAATACTTCACCTGCTTCTGGAGTGTTGAGGAGCGTTGGGATAGATGGAATTTCAGGGATTACATTATAAGAAAAGGAGAAACAAACTAGAGGTAGAAACTAGTCCCCACCAACACTCTAGAAGGGGTAGCTACCTAAACCAGCCCTCACAGTTGCATACTCTAGGTGCTCCAGAAACTGTCCTCTCCATTCTCTTTAGTGGATGACACCCAGTCACAAGTCTCAAAACACCCAATGAAGAACAAAGATTAACCACTAACCTGTCCAGATTTAGAAAGCTACACAAGACATCTCTTTGCCCAGATTTTCAACTCAGTGAACTATCAGCTCTTGGATTTTAGCTCACTGGTCAGATCTCTTTCCATTCTCTGCTTCAAAGCTACAGAATGCAGAGTAGCAGGATTGTTTTACTTCTTTTGTTTGGAAGTATTAATGACAAAATGTAAACCCTGGAAGTGCTCCCAGAAATTGCGGTGATGGATGATTTATAAATGCATGTAATAACAGGTATCAAAGATAATACAAATGCAAAGGTAATACATACCTTCTTAATATTCTCCATCCTCCCCATACCTGTAAAAACATCCATAAGGATTACCTGCATAATTTTGGGTTTAATAGACATCACACTTACCATCAATTCCAAGAACATCCAGCACATCAGTCCATATTCTCCAGAATGTGTCTACTAATACATCCACACCGTAAACAAATCTTTCTGTCAGCCTTGAGAAAAACTGTAAAATAAAATGCTACTGTAAAGAATGACCATTGGAAATCAACCTTGAGGGGTTTATGCAGTTTATTCAGTTTTCAGTACATCTTAAACAAACAAACAAACATAAATATATAAATATATATATATACACACACACACATATATATAAATATATACATATATTTCCCTTTACCATAGTATCTGCGTGCCTCCAAGTATTTAAAAATAAATGTAGCAAATCTTTCTTTCGTTCCAGATCACAGGAAAAACTGAATTAACATAGGTTTTTGTTTGCCTGCTTGTTCATATTTGTGTGTTATTTGCAACAAGTTCATAACTGGTGTGTGAAAACCAAAAACTCTTTCAATGCAATTCTCAGATATTTACTGAAAACCTGACAGGTCCATAAACAATGTGGACAAAACTACACAAAACTTTAACGACAGTGCAAATTATACTCATTCAATTCAGCAAATTACATACCTTCATGTTGTTATGATACAGAGGGAGTTAAGATTGGGAAATGTGAAGTTAGAAGATTGAATGAGAAAATGAGTACACCTGAAGGCTGATTTGGTTTCCTTTGGGAACAGCCTAATCTAAATTTGTTTTGAAGATTACTCTACTTGTTAGTCTTATTTCAGTTCTTGTGTGTATCCCTGAAGAATCTGACCTGAATCCCTAAGAAGCCTTCTGAAGGCTGTCACTATAAAATTCCTGAACAAAAAGCTATCGAGATTATAGGTGAAAAAGATGGATATTTGGCTCAGCTTGCTTCATCTAATCTAGCACCTGCATCTTCCATGCTGCTCCCTAATTTACTGCCAGCTATTGTGCAAGAACCTTCTCCTGGCCTCCTAGTGACATCCAGCTCAGCCTTCCTCTCTCTCCATTTCAACAATCTTATCTGAACACATTTTCTTCTCCTCCTTGCCCAAGTGTCTTGATTCTTTCCCTCTGACACTTTACTGTATTGAATACAAACAATGCTGTAACTATATTTCAAAAAGCACTGTGACAAAACTGGAATATATGCTCTGTATAAATCGTTTAGTATTGCTTCTAATTTACTCTCCCAGCTCTAGTTTAATAATCCATCCACGCTTCTATTTGTACTAACAACGAGAAGGAAGCCAAAGATTTCTCATTCAGTTTTTGCTTGGGAGGGTAGGGAGTTCTCAAACCGAGTTTTCTTTGCTATAGAGCACTAGGGGACAGAGGGCCCTGGGTCCACAATGTGAAAGTCATTGGCCACCGCTTCTAAACAGCACGAACCTGCGCTAGTATCTGGTGGATCAGAGACGCAGAGCAGCCACCCACAGAGGGAGCCAGACAGCTCGCAGCGCCCTCCCCGTCCCGCCCCATGGCCCCCGGGAAGGCTCTTTTCCTTACGATGGGCTAATCCTAATCGTTAATCCTTACGATGGGTCTCCTTTAAGTTTTCGGGGGAGCAGACTGTCCGCGCGGAGGGGGGCTGTTTCTACGCTCCTACACCAGCTGAAAAAGGTGCACGCCCCGAGCGTCCCCCCTTCCAGCCTCGCCCCACGCCACCAAGAGACGCCTCGGGGTGAGGCGGCAACGAAGGCAAGCGGCCCCCGTGGGGCTTTCAACGATTCCGGCTCCCACCCACCTCCACCCCGGGCAGACCCCCCCCCCCGCGGCTCCCGGGCAGCCTTAGTCCCCGTCGGGCTGGCGCGGGGCGCCCGGGAACTTGCGGGGCTTGCTCGGGGCGGGGGGGCTGCGGGGAGCGCCGGGGGGGGGGGCTGCGGGGAGCGCCCGAAGCCGGGAACGGGGCGGCGGCGCGGGATGGCGGGAGCCGGGGGGAGGGATCGGCCGCAGGGCCCGCGCCTTTTCCTCACCCCGCTAGGGGAGGGCAGGGGGCTCGGGGCTCGCCGAGGGGTGGAGGGGGGGGCTCGCCGGGGGCGGGGGGGGGGTCTCACCTTCTGCAGGGCCCGCACGTTCTCCTCGCCGAACAAGCCGCTCACCCCCTGGTAGATGCCGCTGGCCGCCCGGCGGAAGCTGTTCTGCTTGTCGGCGCCGCGGCTCCGGGCCGCCCAGGCTCCCGGTCCCACCACCTCGCCCAGCAGCAGCAGGAGAAGCAGCGCCAGGCCGGGCACGAGCCGCCCCCTGCCTCCCGCCGCCATGTCGCTCAGCCCGGCCGAGCCCCCCGAGCGCCGCCGCCTGAGCGCGAGGAGCCTGTGGCCGCCGCTCCCAGCATCCTCCCGCCCGGCGGGCCGCACAGGGTCCCGCGGCGGCTGCAGCGCCCCCTGCGGGAGGCGGAGTGACAGGGCCGGTCCCTCGGGGCCGCCCGCCCAGGCGCCGGCGGCGAGCCCGGGCCGCGTAGCGCTCGTCGCCGGGCGGCGTGACGGGCAGCGCCCACAACGCAACACACACACGCTGCACACCCCGGACCTCACAATACACCCACACCGCACACCCCTCACCTCACACTGCACACCCCTGACAGTGCAACACGCACACCGCACACCCCTCACCTCACACTGCACACCCCTGACAGTGCAACACGCACACCGCACACCCCTCACCTCACACTGCACACCCCTGACAGTGCAACACGCACACCGCACACCCCTCACCTCACAATACACCCACACCGCACACCCCTCACCTCACACTGCACACCCCTGACAGTGCAACACGCACACGCTGCACACCCCGGACCTCACAATACACCCACACCCCTCACCTCACACTGCACACCCCTGACAGTGCAACACGCACACCGCACACCCCTCACAATACACCCACACCGCACACCCCTCACCTCACAATACACCCACACCGCACACCCCTCACCTCACACTGCACACCCCTGACAGTGCAACACGCACACCGCACACCCCTCACCTCACAATACACCCACACCGCACACCCCTCACCTCACACTGCACACCCCTGACAGTGCAACACGCACACCGCACACCCCTCACAATACACCCACACCGCCCCCTCCCCCCCCCCCCCCCCCCCACACCCCTCACCTCACAATACACCCACACCGCACACCCCTCACCTCACACTGCACACCCCTGACAGTGCAACACGCACACCGCACACCCCTCACCTCACAATACACCCACACCGCACACCCCTCACCTCACACTGCACACCCCTGACAGTGCAACACGCACACCGCACACCCCTCACCTCACAATACACCCACACCGCACACCCCTCACCTCACACTGCACACCCCTGACAGTGCAACACGCACACCGCACACCCCTCACAATACACCCACACCGCACACCCCTCACCTCACACTGCACACCCCTGACAGTGCAACACCCACACTGCACACCCCTCACCTCACGATACACCCACACCGCACACCCCTCACCTCACACTGCACACCCCTGACAGTGCAACACGCACACCCCTCACCTCACACTGCACACCCCTGACAGTGCAACACGCACACCCCTCACCTCACAGTGCACACCCCTGACAGTGCAACACGCACACCGCACACCCCTCACCTCACAATACACCCACACCGCACACCCCTCACCTCACACTGCACACCCCTGACAGTGCAACACGCACACCGCACACCCCTCACCTCACAATACACCCACACCGCACACCCCTCACCTCACACTGCACACCCCTGACAGTGCAACACGCACACCCCTCACCTCACAATACACCCACACTGCACACCCCTCACCTCACACTGCACACCCCTGACAGTGCAACACCCACACTGCACACCCCTCACCTCACGATACACCCACACCGCACACCCCTCACCTCACACTGCACACCCCTGACAGTGCAACAGGCACACCCCTCACCTCACAATACACCCACACCGCACACCCCTCACCTCACGATACACCCACACCGCACACCCCTCACCTCACACTGCACACCCCTGACAGTGCAACACGCACACCCCTCACCTCACAATACACCCACACCGCACACCCCTCACCTCACGATACACCCACACCGCACACCCCTCACCTCACACTGCACACCCCTGATAGTGCAACACGCACACTGCACACTCCTCACCTCACAATACACAGGCAGTGCACACCCCTCACCTCACAGTGCACACCCCTGACAGTGCAACATGCACACCGCACACCCCACACCTCACAATACACCCACACCGCACACCCCTCACGTCACACTGCACACCCCTGACAGTGCAACACCCACACCGCACACCCCTCACCTCACAATACACCCACACCGCACACCCCTCACCTCACAGTGCACACCCCTGACAGTGCAACACCCACACCGCACACCCCTCACCTCACAATACACCCACACCGCACACCCCTCACCTCACACTGCACACCCCTGACAGTGCAACACGCACACCGCACACCCCTCACCTCACGATACACCCACACCGCACACCCCTCACCTCACACTGCACACCCCTGACAGTGCAACACGCACACCACACACCCCTCACCTCACAATACACAGAGTGCACACCCCTCACCTCACAGTGCACACCCCTGACAGTGCAACACGCACACCGCACACCCCTCACCTCACAATACACCCACACCGCACACCCCTCACCTCACACTGCACACCCCTGACAGTGCAACACGCACACCGCACACCCCTCACCTCACAATACACAGAGTGCACACCCCTCACCTCACAGTGCACACCCCTGACAGTGCAACACGCACACCGCACACCCCTCACCTCACAATACACCCACACTGCACACCCCTCACCTCACACTGCACACCCCTGACAGTGCAACACGCACACCCCTCACCTCACAATACACCCACACCGCACACCCCTCACCTCACACTGCACACCCCTGACAGTGCAACACCCACACTGCACACTCCTCACCTCACAATACACAGGCAGTGCACACCCCTCACAACGCAACACACACTGCATATCCCTCACCTCACAATATACATACCCCGCACAGCACATGCTGCATAGCCCACCTCAGAATATACACACATTGTCCACCCCTCACCTTACAACATACAAACCACCCCTCCCAGCAAAACACGCACGCTGCACACCCTCACCTCACAATAAACACTCTGCACACCCTCACAGCACAACATACACCCTGTACATTCTTCTCTTCACAATATACACACACACCGCACACCCTTCACAGCTAGGGTGACCAGATAGCAAGTGTGAAAAATTAGGACACTTTTTTTCCCAGGGTGTGTGTGTGTGTTATAGTTGCATATATAAGACAAAGTCCCTAATATCAGGACGTCTGGTTACCCTACTTACAGCGTATCACACACACACCCCTCACAGTGCACCACATCCACCTCTCATTTCACAACACACACACCTTGCACATCCCTCACCTCATAATTAGGGCCCTACCAAATTCAGGGTCCATTTTGGTCAATTTCACTGTCATAGGATTTTAAAAATGGTAAATTTCAGGATTTCAGCTATTTAAATCTGAAATTTCATGGTGTTGTAATTAGAGGGGTCCTGACCCAAAAAGAAGTTGTTGGGGGGTTGCAAGGTTATTGTAGGGGGGGGTTGCAGTACTGCTACCCTTACTTCTGTGCTGCCTTCAGAGCTGGGCAGCTGGATAGCTGCGGCTGCTGTCTCAAACTCTCTACATCCTCTGTTCCTGCATTTATAGAGAAAAACAGGCTTCTGAGTGGCTGCAAAAGTAAGACTATTAGAGGTATTATTGCATCCTCTGCTAATGAGCAGTGCATTGAATTAGAATAGGGGGTAGGCCTGGACATAAGGCACTCTGTTATTTGATATGAAAATAGATAGATAGGCTCATGTGTAAGCAACTTTGCTGAAAGTATCAAATAAATGAACTGGGTTTAGAGGTCGGGTGGCATGTTCAAAAGCAACCAAGTGACTTTAGGTGCATGAGTCCCATTGACTTTCACTTTAACTTGTGCTCCCAAGTCCTAAATCAGCAGTTCTCAAACTTCATTGCACCATGACCACCTTCTGACAACAAAATTTACTACATGACCCCACGAGGGGGGACCAAAGACTGAGCCTGCTGCCCCGGATGTGGGGGCCAAAGCTGATGCCCAAGACCTTCTACCCTGGGCAGGGGGCATGTAATCTTAGCCCTGGCCAGTGCGGCTTGGGCTTCAGGCTAGGGCAATGGGGCTTGGGCTTGGGCTTCAGACTTGCTGGGGCCCAGGGCCAATACCAGTCTTGGCAACCCTATTAAAATGGGCTCGCAACCCACTTTGGGCTCCTGACCCACAGTTTGAAAATCCCTATCCTCAGTCATTCACGGGCTTTTGACAATCCCACTCAGAGGCAATAAATAATAAAAAAAAAAATGCACAAGGGAGCATTGGAGCTGGCTTCAGTGCTGTGGGGAAGAATGGAAAGTGAAAATATTACCTGGAATCTTATCACAGCTTGGCTCCTAAGAAGCAATATTGTCAACCCGAAAAGTTCAAAAATCATGAGTCAGACTCATGGGTGGTGGGTGAACACCCGCCAGCCCTTCCCCTTTCACCCGAGATCCCGCCAACCATAGCTGGAGGAGCCCTGAGCAGCCAGAGGAGCCCTAGGCTGCCTGCCCCACCCAGCTCCCCCAGCACTGGGCCGGCCCCATCGCCACCCCAGGGTGCTGGCTCAACCCCCCCCAGGCTATCTGTGGCTACTAGCAGGCCCAAGCTCCAGGCCACTGGCTAGAGCTGAGCCCCCGCCCGCTTAAGGGTAGATGGCGAGGGAGGGTGATACCTCGGGGTGGAACATGGGCGGGGCCACAGCCTGGGTCAGGGGAGGCTTAGCCTGCCCTGGCCTTTGATACCCACCACCCATGGTCAGACTCCCAAAAATCATAAGATTGGCCAAAAAGGGGTGGGTCACAGGAGGTGGGGTGTGAAGGGGTAGGTGTGTGTGTTATGTATCAGTCTGCCCCTGGCTGCCCTGATGCCTGACTCTCTCTCAGGTGTGTTTGTGTTGTGAAGAAGATAGGTGTGTGTTGTGTTGTGAGGAGTGATGTGGCAGGGGTGTGTGTTGTGCTGTGAGGAGTGATGACGAGGGTGTTGTGCTGTGAAGGGTGTACAGTGTGTGTGTTGTGCTGTGAGAGGTGGGTATATGCAGTGTATGTATTATAAATAGGGCCTTACCAAATTCAAGGCCATGAAAAACACATCATGGACCGTGAAATCTAGTCCCTCCTACCCCCGGTGAAATCTGGTCTTTCATGTGCTTTTACCCTATACTATACAGATTTCATGGGAGGAGACCAGCATTTCTCAAATTGGGGGTCCTGACCCAAAAGGGGCTTCACAAGGTTATTTTAGGGGGGTCATGGCATCGTCACCCTTACTTCTGCCCTGCCTTCAGAGCTAGGTGGCCAGAGAACAGCGGCTGTTGGCTGGCTCTGAAGGCAGCGCCCTGCCAGCAGCAGTGCAGAAGTAAGGGTGGCAATACCATACCATGCCACCCTGGGCAGCCGCCGCTCTCCAGCCGCCCAGCTCCGAAGACAGTGCTGCGGCCAGCAGCAGCACAGAAGTAAGGGTAGCAGTACCGCAACCCCCTACAATAACCTTGCAACCCCCCAACAATTTCTTTGTGCAACCTTAATTTGATCCCCCTGTGCATGTGTATTATGGTGCAATCTAATTACATGATCAAACTATTTTTTTCATAGGATCCCTGCTTCATTCAGTGCCCTGGACAGACTGTGCCCTGTGGAGGAGTCAGGATCGTTATCATCAGGGTTGGGATCTTTAGATCCACAGCACAGTCCCTTGTCACTTGAACTAAGAGTAACTGGTAACTGCTGTTATCTTTGTTTGGACCTGCCACTAGAGGTGGTGAAGACACACACTTTTCCAGTGGGTTTCACAGCTATTTTCTAGAGAGCAAAGGGATATTGAGACTTGGGAATATAAGTCAATTCCAGCAATGTTTCCAACAAAATGATGCAAGTATAGAGGAAAGCTCCCATAGCCACAAGCTACTCTGAGCAGGTACTTGTCAGGGTTAGGGGCTATGCTACCACTGGTGATGCTCCCCTAGGGAGTAGGGATACAGCAGCCCCTCAGGTCCTCAGAGCACAGGGGCTGTGGTTTCCCCTGGCCATTATGCAGGCTGGGTAAGGTTGGAGACAAAGGCTCCTTACACTTCCCCCAAACATGCTGCCTGTGTGAGGGCCCCATGTCAACCTCTTCCTTACAGTGATTGCACCTTTGGCAGGGACCAATGCTGTGACATCATCTGAACTACATGGTGTTCAGTGATCACACAGTGTTTAAGGTGCTTGCAAGAGTTTTGCTTTGTTCGGAATCCAGCTCCAACCCTGTGTGCATAATAACTTTCACAGCAAGCAGTCCAGACTCTCTGTCAAGCTCAATCTCTAAAGGCACAGCCCCAAATACAAACTTTTACAGTGAAGTGGAGAGTGGTTAAGGATGTCTCTCTCTGGGCCACATTTCATTCGACCCTAAGAATCAAGAAGAGGTGAAAGGTAGCTACAGATAATTATTAGTGTTTTAGAACTACCAAACTTCTCACTTGTACAGGTATGAATATTATTTGTATGTATTCTAATCAAGATCTGAAATTACAGCTAGTACTTTCATGTATGTAATAGATTCCAGGACTGAAGTGGACTCTGGATGTAAGCTTTTACATGTTGTCCACAAGAAGAACTGGATTTGCTTCAATTATTGTGTTGAAAGTTTCCTCAATTGGAGAAGGATCTCCCTCACTCCTGCAGAACAAGCAAGGTCCAGCCCTTTGTCCCTGCGTGGTCTGGAGCAGAACAAAGGACATTTGGTGTCTTTTTGGTGACTAAAAGCTTTATTTTGGGAGTTCTCCACCTTCAGAACAAGTCCTCAGAACCATTTGTGCTGAATTTGTTAGTGTCTGCTTGAGGAGTTTGTCTATTTTAGAACAATCCTCATAAGGGTGCTTAAGAGTTTAGACTTCCAATCATTCCATAAAATGTGTGCCTTGTGGTGTATCCTGCCTCATTGTGTCAACCAGACAACCTCTTCAGTTCTCAAAATGGAATTTAATCTTTGGATACTTGCACAGGTTTATTCACATACTTATTATATTCAAGTGGGTGTGTGGAGTGTCCTTAATACAAACCTAGAATAAGGTGGGTATCTTGTTTTGAAATGATTTTGTTATACAAAAGTAGCATTTGAAAGATATTTGGGTGAAAATGGTGAATTACAATGAATACTGTTCACACTGTTATTCTCCAGTCTTTAAAGCTGCTGAAATGTGGGTATATTCTAGTGTAAAAAAAAAATTTCTAAAGTAGCCATACAACGATATTCAAGGGATGCTTGTTCAGTTTTCCTTCAAGTTCTTACAGTTTCCTAAAGCCTCCTTTGGAATCCTGGAAAATTAAGGATGAGACTGAGAAAAGGAGAGAAAGAATTGAAAACAAGGTAAGAAAGGAAGAGGATCGGTGGAGGGAGATGGGAGCAGAGATGTACACAGGGGTGGAGTTACTGTAAATGCTGAATATATGTGTCAAGATTTTCTGTGGGTTAGAGGATAATATATGATAAAATTCTCAAAGTGCCCCCTCCTCTTTGATCCTCGTGTGTAAAGTAAACTGGGCCACTTTCTTTTCAATTAAATTCTCAGCTCAGTAAAACAAATTACACTGTTCCTCCTTTCAGAGGAACAGCCGTGTTAGTCTGTATTCGCAAAAAGAAAAGGAGTTCTTGTGGCACCTTAGAGACTAACCAATTTATTTGAGCATGAGCTTTCGTGAGCTACAGCTCACTTCATCAGATGTATACCGTGGAAACTGCAGCAGACTTTATATACACACAGAGAATATGAAACAATACCTCCTCCCACCCCACTGTCCTGTTGGTATCCTA